TTGAATACACATGTCAATATCAAATGTTGTTATTCTCTCTAGATGACAAATGTATCATCTGTAAACAGATGATCACAAGACATAATTCAATGCAGATAAAGAGTTTCTACTCGTAACAACTATCGAACATTCTTAAAGGACATACTTTTCATTTATCGTGTTAATTCAGCATTAACTGAAGACAAAAAGAATAAGTATTGACAACTATCCCGAATGAAATCTGATCATCCCTTTTTTTCATTCATTTTTCTGTTCGAATAATTCTCTAATGAATCTCTTGAGTAAAAAGAACTATTATATTGGAAAACAAAAAATGCTACTTGTTTCAATCGATTTTTTAAATTAAACATAGATATTAATCTTGTATTGAATAAATTATCTATGTTATACTCATGATTGTTTATTTTCTTTTTCCATGCCACAGATGCGTTTTTCTCAGTCAAATCTCATTTTCAAGATTAATTCTCCTCCATAATTCTTTAGTATCTTGTTTTTCTACGTGCTTCAACTTAACAAAAAAATAGATCAATAATTTTTTTTCCTTATAATTTTACTTTAATTTTTATATGAAAAGAAAATATTTCGAAAGCCATTATTTGGTATTAAAATATAAAAAGATATTTAACTCAACAAATCTTCGGAATGCATTGTAACTGAGTATCTGTTCCAAAAAAATGCTCTTGTAGAAGACAAAAGCATCAGCCACAGCAACAGCCACAGCAACAGCAACAGCAACAGCAACAGCAACAGCAACAACAACTATCTAAAGGAGATCAAAAAAATATGTACTATGAATCGCCCTATCATAATGATTATATTCAATATGATTATAAAAGACCAGCACCATTTCAAATGAACTACAATCAAATGAATCAACAACGAAATTATTTAAATAATAATATCAATACAATTCCTACATTACCTTTAACAAATATTGTTCGACCACCAGTTCCTTCTAGACAAAGTTTGTTTGATTTTGATTTATTTATTTTCATTGAAACATTGTTTGAGAAATAATGAATTGCAAAGCTATATCATGCAGATATTTTTATAATCAACCAGCATCTGTTTTTATTTAAGTTAATAACATAGACTGCATACTGTGATTTGCTCGAGAATATTTTCTTAAAATTAAAGTTCGAGTTAATCATAAATCAATTAACATTAAATTGACATAAAGATAATGTCTCATCATTTATCGAATATATATATTAAACTAAAATATATTAAATCAGTAAGTCTAACTAATGAATATGACCGAAAATGTAATTAAAACAAAGCTTTAGATTAGACGAAATAACGAAATCAACTGGTAAAGTTGAATTATTTTGGTGAAGTTCTCGTAGTTTTAATAATTCTTTTATCAAAATCATAGCAATCAACTATTTCAAGACAAATAGAAAGAAACTATTTTAATTTAAAAAATTGATAATATTCTTAAGATAACAAGAAGTATTATTTGGTCTGCATAGGTATGCCTGTAATAGATTCGTCATTAAACAATTTTGTAAATGTTCCACCAAATCGTTTAACATTACCTAACATTTCCAAATCAGACGAATGGCCATCAACAAACATTTATTCAACACCTGTATCAAAGTCAATGATTGTTCAAAGTTTAGAAGAATTAAAATCTCCTTCAACAGATTCGATCACAATAGACAATCCGTCACAAACTGTTTCAAATGAAAAATCTCCAACAAATGAAGCCGATATGAAAACAGAATTTGTTAATTTTCGTAAAAAACAATTCGAAACAGGTCATGTTGAAAATATAGTTCGTGATCCTCAACGTGAATTTAAAACAAAAATATATTCTGAAAAGAAAAAATATGAAAATGAATGGAATCGCTTAACTGCAATAGCTGATGTTGAAACTGTTATGGAACGTGCATCACATTTTGAAGATATCGATCCAGATAAATTTGCAAGATTAAGATCAAAATTTCCAGTATCACCACCAATGCATGAAAATCTTGAACTTCATCAAAATTTCTTTTATGATTTTAATCCAAATCATTTATATGATTCTCAATCACAATTTAAAATGATTAAGCCATCAAATAGACAATCTTCAATCGATTTATCTTGTCCATTACCAATTCCAAGAGGTTAGAGTTATTTTTTTCTAATTTTTTCTAAGTTAAGTAACAGATTTTTACTTTATTAACTTTTCCGCGAGAACAATAAGTTTCATATCTGTTTTTTATTACCTTAACTAAATGACTTTCTCATCAAAAACATCAAAACATTTTAATTATACTCGTTATCCTTTCTATTTATAATATTTCCATATGTCAGATAAAAATCGTATAAATGGGCAGCTTTTTTTGTCATATTAGAAAATTTAGTTTATAAATTTGACAAACGTGATTTGTTTTAGGCGGCGATCTACGAAATCTGGACTTTAATTTTGATCCTCGTTATATGATACCACAAGTTCGACAAGATCTATCTCAATCAACAACAAGTTCACATTATAATCCATTAGCATCAACTGAAAGGTTAGTTACTTCGTTTGTTTATTGAATTATTTATTTATTTTTTCAATTAAAATTTCAATTAATTTAGTTCAAGATATCTAACAGAAAATTATCCAACTAATTCTTCATCTCGTGGTGGGGTTAATTTAATTCGTCAGCAATCATATATTACTGCTGTTCGATCAACTAATCCGAGTGAACAACCAGATTTTGGTAAGGTTTACATTTGCTTTAAAATTTAATTCGTTTAATTGATGTCTTTCAATAAAAGTATCTCAATTTGGAACTCCGCCAACATCAGAGCAAGAAATGAAACAACGTCGAACACCTTATTTAATGAGTAATGATCAACGTATAGCTTCTAATCGAGGAGGTTATGTTCCTTCGAATTATAATAATAATAATCGATCAATGGCACAAACACAAAATACTTATGACATGATTCGAGAACAAGAACCAAAATTAAGGTTTCTTTCTTTCTATTTTCAAGTTTTTAGTTACAGAAACAAAATATATCTAAAAAACATATTCTAGAAATTCTACTCAGCAACAAACACCAGCAATTAAAAAATTGAAGAACTTCTTTGGCGAAAATGTAAATATAACGTTCTTTCTCTCGAAATAAACAGCAAATAAAAAACTTAAATCTTCTAAAATACATTCAGATAGCATCATTGGGTCATGAAATGGAACATCGTCCATCCTTATCTCAATCTCCATTATCTCCTCATTCATCATCGGGTGGTCAATCCAAATCTGGTTCAATATTTGACGGTTCAACAGTTGATGGAACTTCAAATCCTCGTGAATCAATTTCATTGACAACAATGGCTGATAATTTAGAAGCATCAAAAGAAGGAATACTTTATTGTAAAACTGTATTAAAAGACGGCCGTCGAGCTGCTGATCGTTCATGGCGTGGAGCTTGGGCTGTACTTAGACGTGGAGCTTTATTTCTTGGAAAAGAAAAAAAACATGGGCTATTAATTCCACTTTCATGTGATTCATTTCCAATTAATCTTCAAAATGCTGATGTTGAATTAGCAAGTGATTACGTTAAAAAGCCAAGAGTTTTCAAAGTAACAACATCAAATCAAAGTGAATTTTTATTTCAAGCACCAGATATGCAATCCTTAAATGAATGGTTAGATGTTATCAATGAGAACTGTGTTCCATCAAATTTACAACAAGATAATCCACAAATTACGACTAATGTTAAAAATAAAAAACAAAGAAAAAGTACTGCATCATTGCCACCTATTGTACCCATTCATCATGAGCACGAGTAAGAATTGTGGTTTTCTTTTTCATTACTTATCGATCAAATCGTAGAAAATATTTCAAGAAAAATCTATTCAATTTATTAAGCCAATATGACAGAAATGTCAATCAACTACCTCAAAGCTTCTTGTTTTTCTATCTTCTTGTAGTTTGTTAGAAAACAGGCAGTTTCAGTGTTTCTTTAACTTCAATTGTTAAGAGACTATCATTTGAGTATGCCTTCTGACTAGGTCGACTATTTTTTGATTGACAAACAATATATAGAAGCAAAAAGAAGCGACCTCATTTATTTGTCAAGAAACTTTATATTAAACAACATAAAGATAATCAATTCATTAGATTGTCAGACATGAAACCTTGTTGTATAAATCTATGTTAAACAGAACAAAATTATTGATGAAAATCTGTAAATCATCATATTTTTAACCTACTACTATCGACAAATCAAGACTTGAAAAAAATAAACTATTCTTGATTAAAAATAATTGAAAGTTTTTAAGAATTATCTTTTTTATGCAATTGATTTATGAAACTTCAATGAGATTATATTCAAAATTTTACATTTCATCTACATTTCTATAGAAGAAACATGAATAATATTTGACTAAAGAAAACATTACCATTTTTTTGTTGAATTTTCAGTTTATCATCTGCAACTGGTGAACAACGTAAATCAAGTTCGAAATCGAAAGGTTCTTTTCGAAGTCCACCATTGAAACGTTCTCCAAGTCTTCGCTTTCGTAAATCTCAAAAATCTTCAATAACTCAACCTGCACAAGCAATTCCGCCATCAAGTGGAACAAATTCTGCTCCGAATGGTGCTAATGTGACTTCACCACGTCGTTCATTTGTTAAATCAATTGTCAAAAAGGGTCTTCGAACATTAAAATCATCATCATCATTATTAACAAGCCAAATGAGCGGACAAATTTATGATGAAAGTAGTGGAGAATCATTATCATCAACAACGGGTGTTGGTGCACTTTCACAAGGAATTAATTTTGCTATTGAATTAGAAGAATGTGAATCATCATCCGTATCACGTTATATTCCAATTGTTGTCGAAATTTTAACACGTCTTATTGAATTACGCGGAATAAATTATCAAGGAATCTATCGACATGCTGGAGGAGTTACGGCTGTTAATTGGCTTGTTAATGAATTAGATAAAGGTGCAGAAAATATCGATTTTAATTCTGAAAAATGGTACGATGTTAAAGCTGTTGCATCAACATTAAAAACATTTTTTGCTAAATTACCTGATTCACTTTTGTCGTCAAGTTTGTTTCTTATTTCATTTGATAATTGTTTTTATTTATTTTGCGTTCTTTTTTTTTATTACAGAGATGAGTAGTTTATGTGTTGAAGCAAGTCGAATCGAACGTCATTGTGATCGTTTAGTAGAATTAAAACGACTTGTTGTTCAATTGGATGATTATCGATTTGAAACATTAAAATATTTATGTGCTCATTTTCGAAGAGTTGCTGCCAAATGTCATATTAATAAGGTTTGTTTGTTATTCTTTTCAATAGAAAATCGTTTATCGTCGATTTGTTTTTATTTTCATCTAGATTGATGCGAGAAATCTAGCCATTATATTTGGACCAACATTAATATGGGATTCAAAAGCATCGTTACAATTAAATCTTGTCGATAATCCAGAAAAAATCAGAATTATTGAATCATTTATTTTATATGTACGTTTATAGTTTCTTTTAAATTTCTCTCGAAAATAGTTTTGTAGAATCAAAATACAAGATCATAATTGATTTATTTATGTATATAGATGAGATAAATGCAAACAAACAGAGAAAACTCAATAACACTTTTTCAAATGAGTTGTTCAAGATCAAAATAAACAAAATAAAGACTAAAATAGACAGCTGTTTAACAGTTAATTTTGTTTATCAACATATGATACATATCATCATCAGATATATTCTATTGCTATGAATTTTAGCGAAAAATTTATCTATTCAAATACTAAAATAAGTTTTTAGATTATTCCAATTAAGAGAAAACTTTCGAAGTAATTTCAGTTAATAAAATTCGACCATATTACATAATGAAATATCGATAGAGATTTCGAACTAAAGGAGACCCATCGATTAGTAAATAATTTTAACGAATGCTCATGATCTTTGTTTTAATTTTATAAGTCTTAAATATTGTTTTATTTTTTGACCTGTAGAAAGAAACTTGTTAAGTCATATTGAATATTTCATGATTTATATATTCATAAATTATCTTTTAAAAACGATTCGTAATATTTTTTTATAAAACTTAAAATTAAGTTTTTTCAACTCAATAATAGTTTCATTATTTTTATTTTTCAATAAAATATATTATTTCTTGCACAGAAAAAAAAACATTTTCCACTATAAGGCCATGAGAAGAAGAGGAAAAATAAACTAAAATATTAAAAACATTTTCTAGTATGAATGGTTTTTTACTAATAATTCTTATGAATCAATTCCAATTGAAATAAATCCTCAAATGCCTCGATTACCTCCAGTAATAAGCCATGGAACAATGGATTCTGAAACATTATTAAATAGTGAAATCAAACCAGGTGAAATAATTCAGAATATTGTCCATGCAGCTAAAAGACGATGGTCGTCTTCAATTTTACTTGACACGATATCATCATTAAATTCAAAAAAATCAACAGCAAATGATCAACAAACATCAAAACCAATCAATATATTTGTTAAAAGGTATTTTCATTTTGCTATAAAATATTTATTTTTTTAAGCGAAAAAACATTTAATTCCAGTGTTGTTCGTCCAAATTAAATTTGTTCGTGTATTTTTTGTATTAATTGTAAGCTCAGCTTGGTTTTTTTCTCGGCTCGTCCAGCTCGTTCCTTTTCCTTTTTATCTTTTTTGAATTGCATGATTTTTTTGTATTTATTTAAAAATTAAACATAAATATTTTAATAGAAATCGTCGACGAACTAAACTTAATCGATCATATTCAATTGACTTGTTACTAAACGAGAAAAATATTCAACAAATAGATGAAATAATTTCATCTAAATCAACAGATTCAATGTTTTATTCAATGTCAGATAAACGTTCGAAAAGTGTTAAAGATTTTATAAATTATTTTATTTCATCGAAATCAAAACATTTACAAAATGAAAATGTTTCAACTCCATGTCGTAAGTTGTTATATTTTTTCTTTTAATACAATAAAAGAAAGAAAAATATTCAATTGATTTAGTTTTGCATACAAAAAATGAAAATGAAAATATTCATTTTTCTGAAAAAACTTCATTATTAAAAGCAAAATTAATTCAACATGACCAAATTCTTCAAAATTTCAAACAAACAATAAATCAAGCTGATCATCAACTTTCATTATACTATAAATCATTAAAAGAAGATTCTTCTTGTTCTTCACATTCTTTACCTTCTTGTTATTTATCTTTATATGCCTTAGAACTTTTGTGATTTCCTTTTTAATTTTATTGTTTTTTTTTGTGATATCATCTCTTTTTTTGTTTCTGTATTTTCAATGTATTCAAGTGTGATAGAAATATTCATTTAATTAGATAAAAATAAAATAAAAGAAGACTTTTTTGTGTTCTTCTTTTGGCATGATTAATCGCATTTTTTCTCTATGGATACAGAAAATCTTGTATACAACACAACGTAACATATGTCATTCGCATCAGTTGCAATAAACAGACGACTTATTATTACTATTTCTGTCGAAAAACATAGGAGTAATCATTTTGCTCTCCCTCTCCTTCGCTCTCTCTATTATGGTTGTCTTTTTTATCTCATGCTATGTTTCAACGTCATTGACAAAAGACGAATAAGAGGAAAAAATATGCTGTATTATCAGTCAACAGCTAGACGAAGTCAATAAGAAAAGTCAAACATAAAATTTAAAAGAAAAAATTGGCTATTGATTTTCAAAATATTCTTTGCTTCACGAAGTAATTCATCGATCATCAATAAAATAGACTCATACATTAGGTATACACATAATTTTTTTCACAAGTGCAAATCACCAAAAAGTAAAAGGGACATTGTCGATCCTCTTTGATTCCATTTTTGTTTTTCTACTTCAAATAGAAACAAAAATAGAACTAATTCATCAGCATTTTTTTTTGATAAAATTTTATTTGGTTGCAGGGATCCTTTTTTTGATCATTCGTTTAGAATTATCATATATTCTTGTGATTCCTAATAGAATCAAATCATCGATAGTCTTTCGCATTTTATTGCGAAAGAAAGTTTCTTTTTCTATTTTTCATATAAAAGAATGTAAAATAATTGTTTTATTATGTATTGTAAGTATAGCATATATAAGTTTGGTTATTTATTGATTCTTATCTTGTGTAAAACTGTCTTCTTTTTCTACAATAAAACAATGAAAAGTAAGTGCAAATCTTCTTTATACTGTATTTTGCCCGTTTAATCCGTAAGAAATTTCTCGTTATTATCATTAGTAGTAGCAGTAGCAGTATAAGTAATTATTAAACTATTGTCACAATATTGTATATCCATTATGAAAACAAAAACGATCAGTAGTGACATCTGGTTACAATTGTAAATGATTGAATTTTTTAGATAACCATTGAAAATAGAATGGATTGATTCTATTCTATTCTGCTATTATTGTTTTTAGTTTAGTTATTTATTTTTACATGAAATGTAAATGAATAAATTGATTTTTAGATTAAAGAAAAAGAATAAATCTTTAGTATAATGAAGTAATGAAGAATATTTCCGATTGTCGTTATATAAAAAATTTGAAATTTTATAATCGTCATTGTCTTCGGGCAAGTTAATATCAATATATTCTATCTCAATAAAAAAAAAATGTTTTCGTTCTCGAACTGATTTCTATAAATTGTGTTGATATTGTCTAGTCTACTGTTTATCTTTTGGTGATTTTTTTTTGTATTTGCCGTTTTTTTTTCTGATCGAGTCTTTCATACAGAATTGTTTGTTTGTTTGTTTTTTGTTTTTATCTTATCGAAATGACAGGTAATCATTATGAAAAAGATTCTAACAAACTACGTTTTTTTGATGATGATGGTTATCGACAAAGAGCTGCTTGCATCTGTGTGAGAAATCAACATGAAGATGAAGTAGGAGAATGTTTTTGTTTTTCAATGAAATATATTTTTATCTTGTAAAATTTCATTATTTTGATTAGATATTATTAATAACATCTCATCGTGATAAATCATCATGGATATTTCCAGGTGGTGGCGTAGAACCAAATGAAAGTACGATTGATGCTGCTCATAGAGAATTATATGAAGAAGCAGGTGCGAAAGGACGTATTCTACGAGAATTGGGTGTTTTTGAAAATCTTGAAAGAAAACATCGAACAACTGTATTTGTTGTTTATGTTGAAGAAGAATATGATGATTGGGATGATAAAAGATTAATTGATCGACAAAGACATTGGTATAAACTAAAAGATGCTTTTTCATTATTAAGAATTTATAAACCATCACAATTAACTTTTTTGGAACAATTTATCTCAACATCACCAAATCACATTAATTTACTTCATCAAATATCTTCATAATTTTCATTTCTATGATTCTCTTGTATTCGCTTTTTTTTCTTGTTTATTTAAAGTAAAAGTAAAAACAGAGTAGATTATTGGGGCTTTTTTCTATTGAAGATGTTTAATGCGATTTCGATGTTCGGCGTAAAAATTCGTCCGCATCATTCATTATCAATTTTGGCTTTTATTATTTGTTTTCTGTTAGTTTTGATTTTATTTTCTCAAAGGAAAAGTTCGCCAATTCAAACAGTTGAAATTGATAATGATGACGATATTAATTTAGTTGATTTATTTAATCATGCTTTCAAATTAACATATCAATCAGGACAGGCAATTAAAATAATCAAAAACACAAAGAACAATTTTAAAAAAATTCTAAAAAAACAACCTTTCAAAAATCTACAAAGTGAACCTGTTACAATGGCTGATTTCATTTCACACTCAATTATAACCAACGGATTAAAAAATAAATTTCGAAATCTTCAAGTATTTTAATAATTTATATTGAAAATAGAATTAATCTTTGTTTTGTTTTATTTTAATTCATTTTCAAGATTATATCAGAAGAAAAAGACGCAATAAGCAATCAAGAATTTCAACTGATTGAAAAAGAGCTTAATGTCCGAAATAAATTTCCAGATATTCCATTTATTCAAAATGATAAAAATTTTATGACTGTTCCCTTATCATCAGTTGCTGTGTGGGTTGATCCTCTAGATGCTACCAAAGAATTTACAGGTTTGTCTATTGTTTTTTAAAATGAAACGAGAAAAATTTTTTAAAAATATAGTTAATAGTCTTTAGTTTTCATGAATTGAAAAAGTTTCGCTCATAAAATTTTTTTGTTGTAATATTAGATTCAATAAATTCATCGTGACATCAAACTTAAAAGTATTTGTTTCAATATTCAAGATGACATTTAGTGAATCGTCAGAGTAAAAAAAAGATTAAACTCATACGGAATCCTTTGAATTTACAACATATTGAATTCTTACTGTGTGCGGGATAAATTGAGAATAAATATATAGAGCTAATACGGTGTAATCATAAACAATCAAAGATCACTACAGTAACTTTATACATATATCTAATTAAATATTTCCATGATAGCTCATGTTGAAAACTGAACATACTCATTTCATGAATTAGCAATTCCAACTATTCTTTTAATATTGATCCTTTTTCTGATAACCTTACTGAATTATCAAACATAATCCAATTTTGTATAGATTTATATTTTCTTGTTATTGTTTCAAGTTACATATCGTTAGATGACAACATTTCCGACTCATTTAGTCTGCCAATTGATTATATAAAACTATGCCATAAATAATATTTATGGAATTAATTATGCAGCTTGAAAATATATCTTTTGTTTGTTATTGATAGAGTCGAAGTTATTTCATTTGTATGTTGATATAGATTGTGAATTAACATTTTTGATAGAATTGCATCATTTGCTTGTCTATAAAGACTAAGAAATGAATATCAATAAAACTGATAACATAAGTATTTTATTTTTTAAATATTACAGTTACACATGCGACTACATTTCTAGTTGCCCTATGAATTGAAAGATATATCAAACCATTAAAACTTGCATATTTTTGTGTACATGCGATATTAAATTGATATTTTTTTAAATATTTTATTTCAGACACAGAGGTTAACAAACATTATCATAGAGATATGTATAAAAAAATATTATTAAACGATTGTATCGCTTTTTTAGAGGATCTTCTTCAATATGTTATGGTCATGTTATGTATAACAATTGAAAAAAAACCAACTATTGGAATTCTTTATGCACCATTTACTAACAAATTTAGTAATATATTTACGAAGAACAAGAATCCAATAAAATAAATGAATAAATGTTTTTTCGTCTTAGCATGGGCCTGGGTTGGCGTTGATCATTCATCTATTAAACGTGATGAAAATATTCTTTTAGAAGTTCATAAACCAAGTATTGATGAAATAATTCTATCTCGTTCACATGCTGGCCATGCTCATGAAATCCTTAAAAATGTTTATCGTGATAAGCAATATAAAATCATTCCAGCTGCTGGATCAGGTTTATTTTTTTATTTTCAATGTTTTATTAATTGTTTTGATTCTATAGGCTATAAAACAGTTCAAATATTAGAAGAATACGCTGATTATTATCTTCATTTAACTCCAATTAAAAAATGGGACGTTTGTGCTCCAGATGCTATATTACGAGCAAATCATGGAACTATGACAACGCTTAAGAATCAAACCATATCTTATGATCATCAAGATAAAAATATGTTAATTACTGACGGACTTTTAGCAACATATAAAAGAAATCATAATGATCTTTTAAAATTCTTTGAAGCTTCGAATCTCACGAGATATATTCATCAGAAGCAAAGTTAGATAATTAAGTTGTTCATATTCTCTTCATTTTTATTGTTATATGAGTTAGTAAAATGTTATTTTTTATCATAAATAAAAATAGATATCATTGCATTTTTGTCTGATCGATATAGATATAAATTGAATGACTGATTATTGTCGTAACCATTTTAATTTGTGTCTTGTCAAAGTGACTTTCTTTGCAGATAAGTTATATTTTTTTCACATATAGCATGATAATTATCACAGCATCAAATATGATTCTCATAATTGTCGACAAAGACTTTTGTGCCTGTCAGTATCAAGCAACATGAAAAATAATCTAGATTAGAAAATTTTTTAAATTAGTTCTCGTTCTAATAATAAAAAATAAAGAATATTTATTTTAATCCAATAAGTTGCCATCAATGACGATCTTCATAAATGGCGACTATACGATAAATCTATTGTGTTTCCAAAAAGATTGAATATTCCTAATATTAACAAGAATACCTATGATAAAAGACTGGTTTGAAAAAATAAATATGTAAAAACATTTTATTTCCGAAAAATTCAAATGATGGACACGTTTTATTTCTTATACTTTTATCATTAACATCGCATGTGCTCAAGATATTAAAGATAGATACATTAACAATTGATTTATTTCTTTGTTTTTTATTTGAATTTAAATAGAACTTTGATATGGCAGAACAATTTTATTTTCATGCAACAAGATTTCTGGTTGCTTTTCTCGTTTTATTTATGATTGCCCAGGTCAAACAGTCCGGCCTGGAAACGGCCGGTTCCGGGTAGTTCCGTTGATTTTGTGGAAGCAGTATTCCGGTTGGAAATTTTCCAGTGATTTCCGATCAATTCCTGCCGGAAAACAGTGGGACTTGGCAGGAATTCGCCGGAAAAGTCCAGCCGTATTTTTGACCGGAATACTGCTTCCATGTTCCAACGATTTCTGTGTTTTCCTGCAGGATATGGTGACTTTTCCACATATTCCCTGGAGTATCCTACGGGATCTGGTGGCCGGAATGTTCGACCTGGGTATTGCTACAGAAAATCGTCATTTAAATGCTAATGGATCTTTAAGTAAACAATATGTGATGGAGAACGAACCAAGTCCACATGCATATTATCGTGACGTAGGCACTCGTTGTTTTTCTTCGAGCAGCGTAGCTATTATGAATATGCATGCGACATCTTACTAGTCGACGATCTTGGCTTCGATCTGTTCAGGTTCTTGTTTTTCTTGCTTGTTAGACAAGATTCTTTTTCTTCTTAAAAAGCAGGCAAGAATCATTTCTTGAGTTAGCAGCAAGAATTTTACCTGATTTTCAAGAATCTTGCTACCGTCTTGGACAATAATCTAGAAAGAACGATGTCAAGATCGTCGACTAGTGCTACAGTTTATTCTAGTAATGATCCGATCATTGTCACATGGACACCACTATTATTTATGTGTCTTGATGATTTTGTTGGCATTGTTCCTTTGAATGATAATAAATATATTTGATCATGAAGGATATGCTACTATGATAAGTTCTTAAAGGTTACATTAAAAAATTTACAAAAATACTGACAATGAAACATATTTTTCATATTCTTTCAGAATATAGAAAATAGTTTCAATAGATATTGTTGCTTGTACTAAACTTATAGTATACTATATGCTATAATTAATTAATATAGAAATAATTCATGCAGCAAAATCGACTATGGTAATACAAATTAAATTCATTATCTCTTTATATTCGTCAGAACGGAACAAGAATAATTTATACAGCATCATATATGCGTGAAGAAAAGGCTAAAGCATGGGTATCACAAATATTCATTGAGCCAGAACATATACATTTAGTTTTGCTAGAGAACCTTCATTCATCAACAGCATATTTCTTTCGTGTTGGAACTGATGAATGTGTGGTTGATCAAAAACTTTTTCGTATACAAATCTTCCAGCAAATAAAGGTGGGATATCCAAGGAGTGTGGAATACAAATTCCACTTCAGTTTCCCGAATACTAAAATTCAAAAAATATAGTATCCATGATAGTTTTTGCTCTTTTACTCATTTTCATCCGGAAATTCGTGTACATGAATGTTGCAGTGCAAAAAGTATTTCAGAAAAAGCACGCTTTTTTACTTTCATGAATTGGGGAACTATGAGGAAACTGATGATCATTTCTCGTTTCTCTGAGGAGTTATCATGGTGTTGCTGATAATTCCTCTTCAGTTAAGGAATTCCCATTTCTCAGCTCTTGAACAATGCTGATCTAGTTCGAGCATCACATACTCATAAATCTAACGTTTGATTTTTTTGCATGCTCAAAAAGTAATCTATTAGCTGATCAAGCACGATTCTAATCAACAAAACTCAATTAGATTGGCTGCTTATTGCATTGATATCGTTCGAAAGTATGTAGTAGATGTCAGAGATATCCGAGTGACGATATGATTTAATGTATGATTGACCCAATCTATTTACCCATTGAGTTACTTTTGTGTTCTGTGTTGTCGTGTGGATATCAATCATTTCTGTTTTCAGCACAATATCAGAATGTCGAGTCTTGTTTCAAATGTAGATAGTTCTTCAACAACGTGTCCAATTTTAAACGTGAATAATAATTCAACAAGTGACTCGGCATCGGTGCCCAGTAGTTACGTCAGTCTATTAGATTCATGCAAAACTCCCGGTTAGATATATTATTTATTGCTTTTACATAAAACTAAGATTTGCATATTTGAATAGATGGTCCTGCTTTGTCTTTTCCTCAACGTACAACACTTAATTGGAGTAAAACATTGAGTACATTTCGTCATTGGAGTTCGAGAACATTAAAATATACCCGACAATTATTTCAAGAGCGAATTGGACATGTTGTTCCTACGCAAGATATTGAACTTGAACAAAAGATTCAAGTTAGTGTTTTTTTCTTCTCACTTTAATAACTTAATTCGTAATTAAAAAAACACGTTTAGCTTCTCCGCGAAACAAAACGTCATTATGAGCATATATTAAATGAAGCTCGTCAAATGAGTATTTGTTTTGCTGGTCTTCTTCAAACACAACGTTCTCTTGGTTAATTTAAAGTCATTTTTTACTTATAATCGTAAAAATAAAATCTAATTTTAGGTGAATCATTTAGCGCATTACAACGAATATCTGAATCATCCGATGATCTTGTTGATCAACTTGTACGAAATAGTCAATGTCAAAAAGTATTAGCCCTGAATGGTGATACACTTTTACGTAAAAGCAGATTTGCCTTTTCTATTATTATATTTAAAACCGAAAAATAAATATTCGTCTCTAGATGCAATCAACACATTTGTTGATAAATTACAAACACTAACGAATAAAACAATCGAAGATACATTAATTACAATAAAAACATATGAAAACGCACGGTTTGTTTCGCTTTGTTTTACTTGTTTTTGATGAGCTCTATTGAATAAGTATAGAATCGAATATGATGCATATCGTTATGATTACGAAGTATCATTAGCTCGAAATAAATCAGGAGAACAAACACCACCTGCTGATGAATATATTCAACAGCAATATCAACATTTTAAACAACGTTATGAGAAAACAAAAGAGGATGTTACAATTAAATTAAAATTGCTTGATGAGAATCGAGTTCGTATTTCTGATTTCATGCAATTTCTTTTAAAGTTATTTTTGTTTTGTTTTAGATTCAACTAATGAAACAACAATTGTTACTGTTTCATAATGCAATTGGTGCTTATTTTTCAATAAACCGACAACAGCTTAATCTGTGAATACTTATTGAATGATTTTCCATTCTCACTTGACAATTATGCAACACTATTGTTAGCTTGTCTTTCTTAAGTTTTTGTTTTATGTTTTGCTCATATTTCTAAGTGAACAGTTCGTTTTTTGTATGTTATTTATGAAAAATCTCTAATCTTATATGACAATAATTTTTAAAAGTATTTTTTCTCTTTCTCTACGTATACATATATCAGTGAAACATAATCTCAATTTGTACACTTAAACATTTATCAACATAGATTTTACTACATATACAACTTTACAATATACGAATTTTATTCGACAATAGATCTCGAATGTAAATGCATAGTTCAAAGTTATTTTGATTCGAATTCTTTTACAGTTAACTATTCGTTACTTAATTCTATCATAAATAATACACTAATTCTAGATACAGAAGTATCATTGCTTTTTCAAAAATGATGCTTTGCATGTTTTTTTAACAAATTGTGAAATTCATTTTTCTGTGAAACTCAAAGCATTCAAAAAAAGCCTCTTTCATTATTTGCCCAGTTCTATTTCATAGAAGTACAACATCATTATATATTTTCTTATAACAGATGAATGTAATTGATCAAGAAAAAAACTTTCATAATACTATAAACGTCTTCGCATTATATAAAATATAATTCAATCTATACTGTTTTAATCAAACGCATGAAAGAGAAAGAAAATCTATTCGAATTCATTTTCTCGTTTCAAAATCTTATTTTTTTACTAAAATACTGTCCTACATACGTGAAAAAGCATATGTAGTAATTAACGAAATATTATTATGAGTTACTTTTAAGTTTTATTTCGTTTAGTAAATTACAAAATAATACCATTCGATTAGTGTACACCTTATTCCTTTAGCTAGGATCAGACAGATAAGCTTATATGCAGTTTTCTTCCTGAGAGAAGATTAATATTGACACAATAGCATGTTTATTTTCACCATTACAATGTTAATACGCCTTTTTTCAAACATAGAGTGCTATTATTCTCTTAACTGATGTTCATTTTTCAATTAAAACGATACAAATTCATTCGTTTGTTGTCTCCAAGAAAAACAAATTATATTCTGTTTTCTCGATTATAACAAAACTTCAGTCAGTGAAATATTCCAATTAGAATACTTTGCTAATGCTTATATTTTAAAAAATTGAGATACATTTTTACTATCCTATCCAGTGGCGGAGCCAGGATTTTGGGCTAGGGGGGGCTCAGCCCCTCAGAGGTGTCGCGAACATCCAAAAATTGGGGGAGAGGGGCCACTTTTAAAAGCGTGCTTTAGGAAAAGTTTTGACAGATCTTTCGGATTTTGACAATTCTTCTGGGTTTTTCCCGGATTTTAAAAGTCTTTTTGCAGTTTTTTAGGGATTTTGAAAAATTTATCAGATATTTTGAGAATTTTGAAATCTTTTCTGGATTTTTTTGGGGAATTTAAAATATTTTGCTGGATTGTTTCCGGATTTTATGGGGATTTTGAAAATTTTTCTGGTTTTTTTTCTGGGTATTTTAGTTTGCTACCTGACAGCACTTGTTAAAACGTTAAACTGGAAACATTAATACACATTTATTTAAAAAACTGCGTTTTCTAAAATCTCGCTAGGGGGGGGGGGGGGGGGGCCCCCCCTACCCCCCGGAACCCCCC